GTTCTTTAGGACAGACCCTGAAGTTGTAGATCAATATCAATGTCAATGTTAAAAATATCTATGGTTTACATATATATGGTGATTAGAAAATCAGAATTTGTGGCAACTGTTCATCTCCTTTAAAAATCTAATAGCGAAATTTTGATATTCCAGGTTACCTTGATTGATACAAGAATAAAAATGACGGATTTGGACACTTCAGGAAATTTACTTATTAATTTTTAAAAATTATTTTTTTAAAACAATGCACCTCAAAAATTTTTAAATTTTTTTTCATGTAATCTCTTTTTTATCAAAATTGAAAATTTTAAATAAGTTTATTTTTTCTCTTTTTTTTAAAAATGTCGCTACGGATTTTGTAATGTTTTGGTAAAATATTCTTATAGTGCGCCCTAAAAATAAATATTCACGCAACACTGCAAAATTTTTAGGAAAATTTATTAAGACGACATTTATTCCCCAGTTCTTGGTTCTCATTTTACAAAAATGTTCGTGTCTAATCTTTTAAATAAAATCAAAGTAAATCTAGAAATGAATACGACATTACCAAACAAACTTCCAACATTCAACCTGGTACACGTTGCAGCTTAGAGAATAGAGGAAAGAGTTAAAGAAAAAGAAGGAGAAAACCACCACAATACCGAGCATTTTGATTTTTGTATTTAACATCTTTTGAAAGAACTGTAGACACAATTTAAAGTGACTCCCCATTTATAAAGTGGCATTTCCCATTCACAACGGTACCCCTTAAAGCCTTCATCGTATTAAGGATGAATGAGATACAGGTTTACTCACAAAGGATGAGACTGTAAAGACGACCCAAAACTCTAAAAATATGACGATTTAAAGCTTAATCTTCATTCAATTAAGTATTTTGATGGTTTAATTAATAATTAAGCACAGACATTTGCTAGTTTTGGTCTACAAGAAACCCTGAATGCAAGAAAATGTATTTAACAAATTCCGTACAATCGGCTCGGAAGTCTCATCCTCTGTGGATAATCATGTATATGTATCATTAATTTCTAGCCATAAACCTTGATATTTCCTGATTGTTAAATACGAGATTTAAGTGGCACCGTTGTGGATCGGACATATCACTATCAAACTGGATCGTCTCTTGAAATTACGCTGTAGTCCCTTAAAGATCAATTTCAAATTTAATCTCTAACATGATCTTAGTTTGGATTTTAAATGTTCAAAAATACTCCCAAAAGTTTATCAAGTTCTGAACCTCAGTAAACTGTGTACGCCATATTATTATACTTTCTAAATTCATTCAGAATAAATCTAATTAAAATTATAGTTTTCTATTCTAGTTGAAAACTTAGACCGGACAGACAAGGAGAAAGATATAAGACTTGTGTTGGTTGGGGATAAAGTTTAAAGGGTAATTTAAAGTGACCCACCATGCAAAGATGACAATGCCCGATTCACAACGTTACCCTTGACATCTTTATTTGATAGTTGCTAAATGTTTTCCTTCAGTAGAAATGCGCAAGCCACTTTTGTAGAGAAACCATAGTTAAAAATAATTTCAAATTATATACATTGAATGGAGGGTCACTTGACCTATCCCCTGGTTTATTTGACAGGAACGCATTTGCATTCAATGGTTATCATGTTACGGGCAGCCGTATGGCAGCCGTAGTACATTTAAATTTCCGAGCCGGGTCAACCTTTCCGGTCCCAGTTTGTACTGTACCTAGCTCTATGGACAGGACTAGCCGGTGCTACAAAGTTGACGCGGTCAGACTTTATGCTTCATACAGGTTGAATTTACTTTTACTAAAGGGGCAGAGGTGCATGATGTATTGTATGTCTCTTATCTCTGTTTTGTTCTGCTCAAGTTTATTGTCTTATTTCCATTGAGAATTTGATAATTGTCAAGTTTATTTCTTGTCTTGATTTTACAGAGTATCAGGTAGCATTTTTGATTGCAATTAAATGGAAATTATTAATTTTATATTGTACTAGCTAAAAAGGCCCGGCGTTGCCCGTGGAAAAAAAATTTAAAAAAAATGCTTGTCAAACTATATTTATCCTATGACACCCATGAGTCTACACAAAAAAATTCAGCTCCAATCGGTCCAGCCGTTTGGCCGGCTATACCCAACATATATATATATAAATATAATATAGATTTATTTATTTTTGTTGATTTAGTTGAAACAATTTATCCATCAGTCTTTATGATCTGACCAGACTTTTAGTTCTCCCGATGGATCTTCCCTAAAAGGAGAAAAAATAGAAAAAAGAACTGAACAGTTTTATTAAACGCATATCTTTAGAACCTGACGGTTGATATTTCAAAACTTTTAACTTTTCCATATTTGATTTGAAATTTTTAAAGCCGAAGACATCAGGTTTAACAAATGTGAGTGGAAAACTTAGAGTTTAGGTAAGTATTCAATTTCTTTAAAAATTTAAAACGATTAAACTACAAGCCTTTTTTATTACTTAAATTAAAAATTAAATTTTGTAAAAAAGAACTAGCTTTTTTTTTAAAGAGGTAAAGAAAATTAACCAACAAGATTAACTTTTGGCAAATCCTTAATCTAATATCATCGATAATTTGTAAAATTTCATACTTTTCATTAAAAAGTCCAAATTTATCAAAGTTTAACAACGGAAGTTGCAAAGATATAGAAATAAAGAAATTGAGTTTGAGGTGAGTAAGTATAATTGAAAACAAACAATACAAGAAACTGAAAGAAAAGAAATTGAACCTTAGAAAATTGAAAAACAGAAAAAAAGGAAAAACTTTAAATTAAGCTTCCAACCCCATGGAAAACTTCAAGGATGGAGAGGTTTTAACAAATAGTTTTCTGAGGGAATAGAACCTTAAAATGGCCCCAAAAGATTTCTTTCAAAAGGAACGTAAATTTAAAAAATCAATGTGCAACATTTGCTGAAAGATTCTGTAGGTTCAAGAGAAAAAATAAAAAAATATCTTTGTTTAAAATATAAATTATTTGATTAGTCGTTACCTTGGTATATTTTCAACTGACATATACGGGTCCATGTAGGTCTTCTTTAAATGATGCGCTCCTTTCAGCAATGTAGAGACTAAACCTTAAATTAGAAAATAGATTATTTTCTCACTTTTTTACATATCCTGTCAGAGTCAATAATTTCTTTGTGTTATCTCTGAATAAATAAAAATATATTTAAGGACTGTAAGCGTAATTTCAAGTAACCCTCCATGCAAAGATGGCAATGTCCGATTTACCTTTAAAAGCTTTGTCTGATCAAGTATTAATGAGATATCATGGTTTTGTTTCTTTAAACAGAGTATTATTCCAGGTTCTCTACGAAAGTGATTTGCTCATGTCTTGTCTATTAGAAGCGAAGGAAAAACTTACAGAAATAAACCCAATTGTAGAGTCGGAATCTGCCATATTTTTACTAGATTAAGGTTTCAAGCGCATTGCCGTCTTTGCATTGAGGTCACTTGAAATTACGCTAACAGTCCCTTAAATAACTTGAAATTACGCTAACAGCCCCTTTAAATCACTTAAAATTACGCTGACAGTCCCTTTAAATCACTTGAAATTACGCTAACAGTCCCTTTAAACCACTTGAAATTACGCGAACAGTCCCTTTAAGTTTATTTAGTTGATACCTGTATCCCCAGCAAACTACTTGAAATTACGCTAACAGCCCCTTTAAATCACTTAAAATTACGCTAACAGTCCCTTCAAATGACTTGAAATTACGCTGACAGTCCCTTTAGACCACTTGAAATTACGCTAACAGTCCCTTTAAATCACTTGAAATTTCGCGAACAGTCCCTTTAAATCACTTGAAATTACGCGAACAGTCCCTTTAAGTTTATTTAGTTGATACCTGTATCCCCAGGACTAGACATGATCTCTCTGAAAAAATAAGAAAATAATAAATCAAAACCTTAACATTGAATTAAGTCTTTGCCACAAACTCAAACTCTCTAATTCTAAAATATTTGCAACTTTTGATGTTTCAAACTTAGATTAAGTATCTAAGGTTTACCACATTGTGTGGCAAAGACTACTTTGGTTGGCGATTACCTGAACTTTTGCTCGAGCTCATTTACACCCTCCTCCGGATAGAAGTGCCACCATTTGCACCCCTTTCCTTGAAACCTGAACAATGAAAACACTTTTTCAAAGTTTATCCACGTTTTGTGTTTTGTTTGTGATTTCACAATAAACCTTTCACCTAAATATTTGTTCTCTCTTAAAATACACCATTCTTAAAATTAGATTAGACAAGAATCCTAGAATAAAGGAATTTATTTGTTTGCCACAAAATCAAATGATCTTTTTTATACCTTTCCAACCGGATAGAGGGATTGAAACCTGATAGAGGGATTGAAACCTGATAGAGGGATTGAAACCTGATAGAGGGATTGAAACCTGATAGAGGGATTGAAACCTGATAGAGGGATTGCAACCTGATAGAGGGATTGAAAAATCAGAGTTTGTGGCAACAACTCAATTCCCATATGGTATACTTCATCACAAATCACAATCTTCAAAAAGTAATAATTTCATGTGGTAGGAATAAATGAGGTAGTTGAGCTAGTTACGTATAGTTGAGCTCAACAAGTGTCTTACCTAATCATTGCATTTCTGGTCCAAAGTTTATTATTGCAATCTTCCCAGATACCCGAGCCATGCCAACAGTTATCATCTCTAGAAAAGTATGAGGGATGATGCAACAATTTTACAAATAAAAAAAAATTGTTTAACATTTACATCATTAATTATTTGTACTATCACTATAGTGAACTTTATCAGAAACATGATTTAGGATAGGAGTTTGCTCGGGTTCAGAAATCCATTGCTCTCCAGGTAGATCCTAGTCTACCGGAGGAGCTGGATAGAATCAACGAGAAAACTTTGTTTGAACCTCTAACTAAATTAAAATCAGGGTAAAGTGATCCAACTTTCTCTTTTAATTCGGATTGTCCATAAAATTCGTGTGATGATCTCATAAAACATGTTACGATACTAATTAAATAGTTTCTGCGTACCAGTACAATTCCTGCATTTCTGCTTCTTTGTACTATAGTACCTATTGTTAAGGACAATCTAGGAGATATTGCATCAAGTGATATCTACAGAGCCATTGCATATTGGTGTAGCTTATTATTTAAGTGGTTTGATTGGCTTATCATTATTCTCGAAGGGGTACACTTCCAACAGATGAGCTACAGTTAAGGTTTCAAGCTAAACCTAGCACATCTATATGTACTTGGGCGATACACACTGTAATAGATCATCATAATAGACTAGGCAGGCCTATATTTGCCTGTTCAATGGACCTAAGTAAAGCATTTGACATGGTTTCTTGGGCTAAACTTATTTTCTAAATTTTTTAAAAGAAAAATCACCTTTATTATTAAGTTGCTTATTACATATTTACTCAAATCAAATGTGTAATGTGAGATGGGGGAATATTATTTCAGTTCATAAAATGAGAAAAAATGAGATAAAGTAAATTTCAAATTAGATATATTGAGCCAAGTAAAATCACTCATAATAATGTCGAAAAGAAATTCCCAGGAAAAAAAAAAACGGAAATTTTTTAGTAATAAAAAACAAAGAGAGAGATCATCAGGGGGAAGGAACCGATTTCTCGCCTGGCACATGTACTCAACTTTTGCAATCTTATATTTCTGCAACCTGATGATTTAGACCTTCAATATTTTAAACTTTGAATTCTAATAGATCCAGAAGACATAGTTAAAGATAAAGATACAGGATTAGAACATTATAATTTGCAATGAGAAATCCATTTATTTTCACTAAAATTCAGAAATTTAAATCTTTTCCCTGTTAACAAGGTTGAATTTTTTCACCTTTCTGGTTTAGGTTCTAGGTTAACTTCAGACCAGAGGCTGTTAGACGACGGTACGGAGCAGAATCCAGACTCTAGGATAGATCTGCTCACCTATACACAGATATCATATTTTTTTTGAATATGGTTAGCGAAAATATAAAATCGATGAAGACGACTTTTTATTTAAGTTTTGATTGCCAACAAGCTTTTGAGAATCAAAAGTTTAAATATCAAAGAGGAGCTTTTATTAACAGGTTATCTTCTATGTTTATGTGTGTCAATGCTATTTAACAGCTTGGTATAAAATAAAAATCAAAATTCGTCTTCATTGTATTGATATAATCGCCTACCACTGTAGCATAGGCGATAATTTAAATCAAGAGCCCAAAAACGGAACTAGGACCAGATTTTATGAATAGTAAACTACATATTAAACGCTTAGACTAAATTAAATCACTTTTTTTCTACGCAGGGTAAAGCTGAAGAGAAGTGGTTCAAACTAGTTTTCGCGGTTCAAATATTTCTTGCTATTTATTAAATTTGGTTCCTGAACCTTCAATAATAAATCAAATATTCTTATTTTCTCTGATAACTATTTGATCTAGCAGAATTTTCAGTTTTAAATATTAAAGCTTTACAACACTGGATGTTAGTAATAGTATTAAAACATAGAGTCTGAGGAGAATAATCATCGTTTCATCGATCTTGTTAATCAATAAAATATCAAGTTTGTGTTAAACGTTGAAATTTAAATCAATTTATCAGTTTAAACAGTTATCTACGAGGGGGTGGGGTGATGAAGCTAATATTTGCCACTTATTTTTTGGAACAATTAGATTTAATGATATATCAGGCTTAATATCTAAAAAGGGTCAAAATAAAGTGGATGTATAAAATTTAGACGAAAATAAAAAAATTGTTCTACAGTGAAACCCTTACTAACGAATACATCGAAAAAATTCATCAAATGTCGTATTCTTCACTTTCTGATAATGGAATGTTGCAGATATTTAGTTTTTTTAATTAAATGACTATATGGAACTATTTAAAACTGTTCCCGCATACTCATGGGCTATTTATTTATTTTCGCAAATACTGAAATTAACGTAATATAGTATAAAACTCATTGAAAAATTGTCAAGACGACATTTGATAAATTCTTCCGATGTATTCGTTATTAAGGGTTTCACTGTAGTAGGCCACATTTATAATTCAAAATATTTTGGGCGTTGGGGAACAACTTTTCATTCAAATGAAATATATTTTATCAATGGTTATTTTCAATTGGTATTTTGTACATTGTGCATTATCTAACCATTTGATACCAAAGGGGGTGAGGTAGTTATTGTTTTTATTGTTGATGTACAGAGAACAGGGTTATCCAATGAGGATGAGATTTTAATGACGACTTAGGGGGCTATGAGGTTATATATGGACATTTGAAATTTATCATGTTTTTAATAGGAATAAAAATTGAACTGACAAGATAAAACCAAGTGTACAACTGCAAGGTTCAATGAATTTTGAGAAAAAAGCATGATTAAATTCCGTACAGTCGTCTCTGAAGTTTCATTCTTTGTGGGTAACTCTTTTCACTACAGGGTCATATTCTTTTACTTACAATATGCTGATCAACATCCCATGTGTAATCATCCTGGAACACATTTCATTCAAACTTAAATTTGAAAAAGTCGTCTTCAATCTTTTTATATAGAACTATGGCTATAAATATTTTCACTTACTAAATCATTTTTTGAATGTAATCTCAGTCAAAAAAAGTGTCTACTCGTGTCTGAACAGAAACATTAAGGGAACTTGTAGTTTGTAGATTAAATATGGAAAGGAAATGAGTGTTTGCCACAAACTAAAAATTTTTTGATCCGTATATATTTGCAACCCGATCGTGTTTTTGATCTAACGGAATGTATAGCAATTGTTATAGTTTGGTACATTGGGCTGCAAAGATATTGGAATTAAAAAATTAGTCTTTGTATTAAAAACTAAATTCTTTAATGTATGCTTGTTGCTGCGTAAATTTTGAACATATTGGAAACTTCACTTAAAACCAGAGATAGAGCATAGTGTAAGGTACATCAGGATCTAAGTCGCGTGAATGCTAAGTCGTGGAATGAATGATTTAATTAAAAATAATGATAAAAATTACAATTAATATTCAAAGAAATGAAATCCCTTGAAGTTAAGCAGACTAGAATAATGTTTCACCATATCAGACAAACTACCGTTGTACCACAGCATTTCTCTCCAAATTTTACTGAAACAAGGATTTTTTTTTTAACTATTCAACCCCCCCCCCCCCCCCTTATAACTGAAAATCACTTAACACTAGAGTGTAGACGTAATTATAACTTATAAGTAAGTAAACCCTTGCAATTATATCTTTACTATACACTTTAATTCTCTTTAAAAACATTAAGCTCAAAGTTCATATTTTGAATAATTTTTCTTATCTATACATACAAGAAAATATCTTCTTTTCATCCGACTTTATTACAGGTGTGAACATTTTTTCTTATAGAAATTAAAACTTTTCTTTGAAAAATTGAAAGCATTATATCCAAATATTTACCTATAAGCTGCAATAAACGGCATCATGAAGGTGTATCCGGTGTTGTATGCATGCTCGCATCTCCAAATCCAAATATTTACCTATAAGCTCCAATAAACGGCATCATGAAGGTGTATCCTGTGTTGTATGTAAGCTTGCATCTCCAAATCCAAATATTTACCTATAAGCTCCAATAAACGGCATCATGAAGGTGTATCCTGTGTTGTATGTGAGCTCGTATCTCCAAATCCAAATATTTACCTATAAGCTCCAATAAACGGCATCATGAAGGTGTATCCGGTGTTGTATGCATGCTCGTATCTCCAAATCCAAATATTTACCTATAAGCCCCAATAAACGGCATCATGAAGGTGTATCCTGTGTTGTATGTGAGCTCGTATCTCCAAATCCAAATATTTACCTATAAGCTCCAATAAACGTCATCATGAAGGTGTATCCTGTGTTGTATGTAAGCTCGTATCTCCAAATCCAAATATTTACCTATAAGCTCCAATAAACGGCATCATGAAGGTGTATCCTGTGTTGTATGTAAGTTCGTATCTCCAAATCCAAATATTTTTCTCTGCCTAGAAAACAATGAAAATTTTATTTTACTGTAAACTAACATTTTCGCAAATGTTATCAGCTCTTTTCAGCTTATACATTTGTATATCAACAAATATAGTTCAATTGGCAAAGGCTCGGCGCGACATATCTCAATAATAATCGGACATTGTTAAAAATGTATCTTTCACTAGTTGTTAAAAATGTATCTTTTACTAGATGTTAAATATGTATCTTTTACTAGATGTTAAATATGTATCTTGTACTAGATGTTAAATATGTATCTTTTACTAGATGTTAATTTTGTATCTTTAACTAGGTTATTAAATATGTATCTTTAACTAGGTTAAATATGTATCTTTCACTAGATGTTAAATATTTATCTTTTACTAGATGTTAAATATGTATCTTTTACTAGATGTTTTTGTTAAATATGTAACTTTACTAGATGTTAAATATCTTTTACTATAACTAAATATGTATCTTTTACTAGATGTTAAATATGTATCTTTTTCTAGATGCTAAATATATATCTTTTACTAGATGTTAAAGGTGCATCTTTTACTAGATGTTAAATGTATATCTTTTACTAGATGTTAAATATGTATCTTTTACTAGATTTTAAATATTCATTTTTACTAGATGTTAAATATTTATCTCTTACTAGATGTTACATATATATCTTTTACTAGATGTTAAATATTTATCTTTTACTAGATGTTAAATATTTATCTTTACTAGATGTTAAATATATATCTTTTACTGGATGTTAAATATATATCTTTTACTAGATGTTAAATATGTATCTTTTACTAGATGTTAAATATGTATCTTTTACTAGATGCTAAATATTTATCTTTTACTAGATGGTAGAGCTCATGGTTGTAGGTCTATGTTATATTGGAAAATAAAAATGGGGTTAGTTCTGACAAGATTTAATAAACTAATTTTCATGTATTCATCTTCCTCTTATAACAAATCAATAATGACTATGATTATAACGCAATTTTAGTCCATTTTAGGCACTTCAGGACTTAGAGAACTTAAAGGGACAGAAGACAAAATTTTAAGTGACCATCAAAATGTAAAGTGGCATGTCCGATTTACAACGGTACCCTAACAAGCTTTGTCTTATCAAGGTTGAAAGAGCTATCAATGTTTCTCTTTCTGAATTTGATTATTACTGATTATATGTTGTTACTTTATAAACATTACTTGCGGACTTTTGCTTATATAAACAAAGGAGTTATGTTTTCAGAATAATTCACTTGTCATGCAAGATATTAAAACGACGGTTTCTCCTGCAAATAAAGGTTTAAAATGTTCCTTTATACATGAGAGTCACTTTAAATTACAAAAACAGTCCCTTTAATAAAGTTACTAATACTTACTAATGATAAAGGAAGAAGGAATTTTTCCGTCATAATGAATGCATCAACATCAGCTGTTATAATAATATCATCACGAGCTACAAACTCTAAGTCGAATGCTAAGAGCCTATAAAAATCTTCATCATCGTTGTTTTATTATTATTATTATTTTTCTTCTTATTATTAATATTATTACTATTATTATTATTATTATTACTATTATTATTATTATTATTATTATTATTATTATTATTATTATTATTGTAATATAATAATATACCGAATAAGTTGTGCTGTAAGGACGCAGGACAGGTCCTGTGTTTTAGAAAGTATAACTCTAGCTCCAGCGTCCTGTATCCTTGTCCTGTATTTCTCTAGACTATCCGTCCTGTTACCAGAGTAAACTATCTGAAGGATTACTTGTCCTTCTGTCAGTTTATGCCAGAGCGGTATTGATCTAGATTTATATAAATGTATTATTTATTTTCTATAGTTATAACTCCATGAAAGGGTGTGGAAAAGTGATTTCAAATTACCGACAATAGAGTCACAAGGTAATCTTTTAAACCTTTTATGATCAAAGAAGAATGAAAATGCAAATGTTTTCTAACTGATTCTTTTTTATTTTCAATTATGGTTTCAATGTTGATGTATAAGCAGTAATATTCAACAATCCACCTGTTTTAAATACACTTACTCATTATAGCAACAGTCAGATGAAAGTATGCACATTCATACCAGTGCTCTGCAGAGTAGCACCAGTCAGATGAGAGGATGCACACTCCCACCAGTGCTATGCTGAGTAACACCAGTCAGATGAGAGCATGCACATTCATACCAGTGCTCTGCAGAGTAGCACCAGACAGATGAGAGGATGCACATTCATACCAGTGCTATGCAGAGTAGCACCAGTCAGTTGAGAGCATGCACATTCATACCAGTGCTATGCAGAGTAGCACCAGACGCTCCAAAACCGGAATTGAGCAGGTCTGGTGAGATTGTGAATGCTTTCATCTGACTGGTACTACGATCGATGAGTAAGTGTATTTAAAACAGTGCAATAATAAAAACGGTGAAATTATTCTCTTTGTTACTTAGACAGAGGTTTCAAGCTGTTACCTTTAAAAACTTTTATGAATTAAGTTTTGTGTGGTTGGTTAAAAACTTGATTTTTCTTTGTAATGTTTAAATAAGTTTTTCAGTTGACAGAAATCTTAAATAGATAAGTCATTTTGAAGTTCAGCCTTGTTTTGAGCCTGTTCATAAAGCAATTAATTAGACCATCACACTTTTTTTGGATATTAGTCAATGATATATAACACCTTGAATAGGTTAGCGTTGATACTATCCAGTCATATGTTATAAATTGAACTCATTTTTGTGTTTCACCATATGCCTTTGATTAGAGAAGTTAAGGTTGAAAATATATAGAATTTCAATTTTACATTAAAGGAATTGAGTTTTTGCCACAAACTTAAATTTTCGAATTCCAATATCTTAGTGACCTGATGTTGTAAACATTTGATATTTCAAACTTAGATCAGTTGAGCTAACAGAATTCATAGTTTGAAATATCTAAGGTCTCCAACATTTGGTTGGGACAATATAAGGATTAGAAAATCAGAGTTTGTTGCAAAGACTCAGTTCCTTTACTTTAGTTTAGTGGGTGGAAAATATTTCCCGGATTTTTACATTTCTAAGTTTACCTGGCGGCTGCTTCTGTGTATGGAAAGTTTTGCTTCCCGTGAACTTTAGCATTTTCTCCCCAACATAAACCTTGTTATAAACTCAATTAGTTTACACGTAAACATTTTACACTCTCTAGCCATTCCTTTTAAAGGGATTGTACACGAAGTTTCAAGTGAACCTTCATTTATAGAGTGCCATGTCCGATTCACAACAGTACCATTGGAAGAATGCATGAGATATCCATGTTTTGACTTTAAAAATTGAGTATTGTCATATCTAATTTTTTTCTGTAAAAGTGACTTGCAACCCAATATTGTAGACTTTAGATATTTCAAACTATGAATTCTGCTTGATCTATTTATCGAAGTTTGAAATATCATACATAATAATAACGAATACATCAGAAGAATTTTTCAAATATCGTCAGTATTTGCGAAAATAAATAAAAAGCCATGAATATGCGGGAACAGTTTTAAAGAGTTCCATATAATCATTTAAATAAAAAACTAAATATCTGCAACATTCCATTATCAGAAAGTGAAGAATACGACATTTGATGAATTCGTTCGATGTATTCGTTATTAAGGGTTTCACTGTAGGTTTTCAGCATCATGTTGAAAAGATATAGGAATTAGAAAATTTGAGTTTGTGACGAAAAATCATTTCTTTGATGCTGGCTAGGTGTACTGTACATGCAAACGAATGTCTCTTAAAATTAAGCAGTTACAAAATGTGACATGAAGTAAAGCATAATTGCATAATGAATTTTATGGACTATTTTAATATCTTTCTGATAATGCTGTAAATTGTAAAAAAAAAAGAAAATTGGGTAAAACAGTTTCCTTCCTGGTGGAAAACCAGGAGATGAAAAATTGTGTGTTTTTAAACACTAAATCATATCTTTTTAAAACTTGAAACGATTAGATTCGGGTTGTTACATCGTAGGTAGCTCCTCTAGTCTTGATCATATGCATTAATTTAAGATTAGCGCCTGTAAAATAAAAAAAGTTTTTCCTAATCGTCTTTTGTTAGTAGAAGTTATGACTGAAAACTTTATAGATTTGAATCTGACTTGTAATCTACTTCAGTTAAACGTGACTTGTAATTTACTTCAGTTAAACTTGACTTGTAATTTACTTCAGTTAAACGTGACTTTTAATCTACTTCAGTTAAACGTGACTTGTAATTTACTTCAGTTAAACTTGACTTGTAATTTACTTCAGTTAAACGTGACTTGTAATTTACTTCAGTTAAACGTGACTTGTAATTTACTTCAGTTAAACTTGACTTGTAATTTACTTCAGTTAAACGTGACTTGTAATTTATGACTTGTAATTTACTTCAGTTAAACGTGACTTGTAATTTACTTCAGTTAAACGTGTATACAGTGATATGCAGGGCGTGCGAATTAAAATATTACCCATTGTGATCCACACATTTCTGGTGTGAGAAGTTTGTTCTTTTTCCAACATTTTTTCCTCCTTTTGATCTGGTATAGAGTTATATTCTTCATGATATAGATATGGTTGGATTGGCGGGGGCCGTCGATATCCTAATTTCAAGTTTTCTAAATATATTCAAAACCATGACGACATTTTAATTATGTAATATAGATATGATAATTTATATAAAAGGGACACTTACAGTGAGAACCAGAAAACTTTGGAATGTTAAGACGACATTTAGACTCTAGTCGTTGACTTCAAATTGTCTAATAAACATGAGACATCGTATTATGGAGTTTAAACAGTCCCATTTTACTCAATAAGTAATTTTTTGTGGTACCTATTTATTTTGTTACATCATCATAAATGTATCCTTTACTCTCAGACAAATTAGAATCAATGTAAATTTAAACCCCCGAGGGATTCAATGATAAACCCTTGGGCGTAAATGACATTCCTTAGAAAAAAAACAAATTATTTTTATTATTTATTTTGTTACATCAGCATAGATGCGTATTGTTGCAATGGAGTATTCCTATATCCACAGTTTGCTGGTTCACACTGTAGATAATCTGTGCTAAAAGCATTTTTTTAAATTTTGTTTTGGTGAACGTTAACAAAACAAATGTTTTCTATCAAACGTTAACAAAAAATTAGAACAATAGATTTAAAAGATCTAAATTGTCAAAATTTTGACTTAATTATACATTAATATATTCTGGAAACATTGTTGACGAAAGTTCATTGTATATATCTCTACCAAGAAGCAACTTTGTTATGGTATTCTAAAGGATTTCTTTAATGAGCTAAATTTCTAAAACTCAAATCTATTATATGTACAATTTTAAATAATATGCTTGATTGTAAGTTGCAATAGGTATAGACTTACTTATTAAAAAATCATCTAATTTTTTCTGTGAACATATTTAAGAAAGTATCTGGGATTTTTTTAAAGTCGAACTCATCGAAAGAAAAATCTTCAATTGAAAATCTAATAAATCTAATTAAGAAAGTTTACCTTCTATTTTCTCTACAGCCAGTTCTTGAACACTGTACAAACAAAATACAGTGAAACTAAAAAGAAATAAATTTAATAAGAATCTGATGCAGTTTAGTTTTGTTTGGTGTTGTTTGAGAATATTTTTGTTTGGTGTTGTTTGAGAATATTTTTGTTTAGTGTTGTTTGAGAATATTTTTGTTTAGTGTTGTTTGAGAATATTTTTGTTTGGTGTTGGTTGAGAATATTTTTGTTTGGTGTTGTTTGAGAATATTTTTGTTTGGTGTTGTTTGAGAATATTTTTGTTTGGTATTGTTTGAGAATATTTTTGTTTGGTGTTGTTTGAGAATATTTTTGTTTGGTATTGTTTGAGAATATTTTTGTTTAGTGTTGGTTGAGAATATTTTTGTTTGGTATTGTTTGAGAATATTTTGGTAAACATTTAAAGGGACTGTAAACATTTAAAGGAACTGTAAACATTTAAAGGAACTGTAAACATTTAAAGGAACTGTAAACATTTAAAGGGACTGTAAACAAAAAGCATTTAAAGGTACTATAAACAAAAAGCATTTAAAGGGACTGTAGGCGATATATAAATTGACCTTTCGTTTGATCAGTGGCATTCCCAATTCACAACTGTTTCCATCAATCCTTTAAACATCTTTAAAATTCGAATGAAAATGTTATTTTTCAAAAGTTTAAAGAAAAATCGGACATTCCACTTTGCGATTGGAGGGTCCCTTGAAACTACGTAAACAGTCCCTTTTTCAGTAAAGACGACTTACCTTATGCATACAAGAGTGTGCAAAAATATGCTTTTTCTCCCCCAAATCTGAGGTTTTGTAGGAGCCCATCCCATTTTATATATCATTCACACTTTCGTCATTTTTGCCGATATTAATAATGTTGTGTATTTTTATCCCTTTCTAACCGCACAAGTCACAAATTGTATGTTTTTGACAGAGATCAGCAAATAATCAAGTTTTACAAAGATTTTAACTATTCTTATAAATTTTTCCTCCCGTCTGTATCCCCGCGCGCTACTGGAAATTGGACTGTGCGTGTGCACAGTGTACGAGTGCGACTATACTTATTTTGACAGGTAACAGTAGTGCATTGGAACCTTTTAATATTTTCACTTTTACACGAGCAAACTTACACCGTTATTCGCAGACACACATTAAATCAAGAATGTAAGTCATTGAAGCATGGAGACGTTGGCTGGGTTGTTTAATGACATATATTATACAAAACTGCCTTATTTCGTGCATATATTATAGAAGAAGCTGATTTTACAAGATTTTACATACATTCTACACCGGTTCTCTTANGACCGACCGCTGACCAGATCATAGCTCAGCAAGAAAGCAGCTGGGGGGGGGGGGGGGGGGGGGGGGAGATCAGAGAGGGAAAGATATAAAATGGATAATTGCAGCTTGAAGGCCAAAAGGATGAGATGATAATGAACATGAGAATTAATATGGTTTCCATAGCTGTCTATTAGTGTACTGCACCATTTTTTACCATTGTTGCACCCTTACTAGACCCATTCCCAACAGGGGTGGGGGGGTTTACGTTCCTCCCCTCCCTCCCATTGGTGTGAATACCCAAACAGTTAGTTTCCTTCAAATCTTGATTTCAACAGTTAAGGTAGATGGGTTTTCAGTCTATAACATATGGTCCTTAAACATTATATAAATCTAGCAGAAGTACCCCCACGGCGTTACCTGTGCCAATCAGGCACACGTTTTTGCGATTGCCCGTGCCGTCTTCGGTTTGAGCTGTTGCCCGTGCCCTGTAGTCTTCAGTTTTTCCGGTTATCCAACTCACATGCATTAGGGGTTTCTTTATCCCACTAAACCTTTTTTTTTCGTTTCACGGAAAACGAGCTCAATTGTCTAATCTGAGGGATAAACCACTCATCCCAACGTACTCAAGGGGGGGAGGGCAATGTAACAATTACATTAGTTTCATCTCTTTCATCTCTCCGAGAAATATACTTTGTAGGTCTATGCATCTATCGTGTTACATTTTGCATTTACGCATACATGTGCATTGCCTACACTTACATACAATACTAAAATAGTACAATTGCTTACATACACAATTTTCTCCTTAAAGACGCAGCTGCAGATAGAAGTAAGATTAGTAGCGATCAAAAGCGCTTTTTTATCGCATTAAGCCTATACCCCCTTTCATTTTTCGCGAACACTCCCTTTAAAGAATCTCCTGTGCTGTTTAAATATATTTTCAGAATGATTTCCTCTAGTTTCTGTTTCCTGTTTGTATTTTAATGATTTAAAGATACGGAAAACTTAAGATTGAAAAGTTTACAAAGATTAAAAACTTTTCTATTTTCTATTTAGTTCGGTTCGGTTCAATTTCCCAAACTCTTATATCTTTGGCAAGAACTTTAAATACTGCTAGATGAAGTAACCTAAACCTCAGGTTGCAAAGATATAGGGATTAAAATATGTTCATTGCTATGCAGTCATACTGTTATTTTAATTATCTTCTTAAAAAGTAGAATTTAGAATTATATACTGTGAATTATAGTTTTGTCCTTATTTTGTGAAATTGACTACCTATCCACTCATACTCTACAAGATTCCCTTGAATTTATCATGTCAGCAATATTTCTAATTATATATATTTACTAGTCAGCTAAATATCTTCCTACCCTAACCTACTTATACAAGAAATAGGAAAGTTATCATGCATAGGGAATGATTCCCCAGCTATGGTTGTAATTGAAGACAGATTTATCTTTTTATTAATTTTAATATTTCAAATTAGAATTAGAGCAAGATTTCTATGTTTTGAACTCAATGGTTTAAATTGATACTCTTTTTTTACGATTTTTAGAATTTGAAGAATTGAGAATGAGAAATAAAGTTACTCACAGTGAAATAGTTGGTACTAATTTTCATTAAGAAACTGCAGTTTAGAATTCTTGGTTAAAAAAACTGAATATTTCCATAAAATTTTCTCAAACAAAAGATAAAAGGCCGAACTGTTTTAAACTAAAGGGTCACTTGAAATTACGCCGACTGCAATCCCATTAAACAAACAATTCGAATAGGAAAAATTTTTAAAATATTTTTAAAAACAAAGAACGAGGTTCAATACATAAATGCTAGCAAAGTGCACCTTTATTTAACAATTATTTAACAATATCTGCCCTGTTTTATTTTGCAAATCTTAAACTAGATTTTTTAAAATTTATAGCATGTAAATAAAAAATAATTTGTTTCTAAAAATTATTGTTCATTTAAAGTGCTGTGTTTATGACGGTTCAATGATATATAAAAGCAATGAAAAAGATTGATTTTAAACTGTAATTTAATTGTATTATTTCACAAAATTTTAGGTAAATGGTTAGTTTTTTTAGACAGAAAAATCAAAAGTTTACCTATCGCCTCGTTCACTTCGTTTCAAGGCTTATTTTTTTCCTTTCCAGGGGGGCTTTTTATATGTTGGGGCCTGAAAACCCCCTGGACGCTATGCATAGATTTCACTAATCCAGGGGGCTAAGCTTCTATAGCCTCGGGTTCACTTAACTGTCTTATCTTCTATCTGAACTATAAAGACAAGAACGGAATAGGAATTTAATAGAAAAGTTGTTAACAAAGAATTAGGTTTTCATTTTAGTAGATTTGTTTAGTTTTTAGTGATAAAGTCTGCACTAAAAAACAAACTATTTCAATGTTTCAGATTTGTACTTGTGTATGTGCAATTAGAAACTGGGAATGACAGTTGAGTTCAACTAATTTTGCGAAAAGTTTCTTCTGAAAACTTCCAAATATATGTTTTAGAAAGTTCCAGGGGTTCCTTAAGTTTTGTTTTGTTGTGATTTCTAGTTCGAGAAATATAATTTATAATTACTTTTTCTTGAAACTTTAAGATCACGTAAGTTGTCAATAGTTTATAAATTATCTTTTTAGAATTTAGCCAACTTTATATAGAAACTTTTGGATTTTGAATAAAAATTAATAAGCCCCCACATTTTTTATGAGACCGATGGATTGTGGATAGTCAGAAATTAAATTTTGCCTGACAAAACTTTAGATTTAAAAACAACAGTTAAAAGTGTAAATCGAAGATGCGCCCTGGAAACCTAGTAACAGAAACTTTACTAAAATACCACTTAATTTAATTATATTCGTATATTTTCGTAAGCTGGCGTAAAAGTAAATTAACAACACTGTCCATGTAATGTCAGAGAACCAGAGACAGTTCATTACATGTCAAATTTACAACGGCATCCTTAATTTAAGTATTAATAACTAGGCATTTATTCTATGCAATTGTAAACATTTTCTCTTTGTAAATATTGCAAAACAAAAATTTTGTGGATTTTATAAAAAATTTCGTGGATTTTTTAAATTCTCAAAAATCGAATTTAGTTAGTGGCAAATTCGATTATCCATAAACCTTCCCTAGGGTCATGTGAGGTCCAACAAAAACTTTGAGCTTGATCGGTTCAGTCGTTTTGACGCTTATTGGATAGACACGGACAGACAAGCGAAGTATAAACATATACAAGGTGTCTTAAAAAACGGCGAATAAGGATCTACAGACTCGTTTGTAATCGGATTTTCAAGATTGAGACCATTTTTAAAATCTACGTACAATCCAGATTTAATAAGGCTTTTAGATCTAAAAATAAAAATTTTATAGGCTCCTGAAGTTTCCAACTGGAGTGAGTAATTTGGTAAAAAATAAGATAATTTCTGTTTGCACAATTTTGTATAAGGGTATACAGAGTTCCTTATAATCGGATTTTCAAGATTGAAACCATTTTTTTAAATCTACATACAATTTCAGTATCAATGAGTCTAATTTTAGGCTTAAATCTAAAAATAACAATTTTATAGTTTCCAACTGGAGCGAAGTAAAAAGTGAAAGAAAATCTCCGTTTGCACAGTTTTATATTCAATGTTAGGTTACAGTTTATTACACACAACAGTTTCAGCAGAAGTAAATAATTCCATTTAATGATAGCGCCGATTGAAGGATCATATCTCTAATTAGATAATGAGATTAGATAGAACGATATATGTTACCGCCATACTATTTCAATTGGTTCAGAATAGACAGCAAACACATGACTGAACCCTGATTGGATCAGGCGCTAATGGACTCGACATACAGGAGTCTACAGTACAACTGTTTTTTTAGAACTACAAGCCAAAAGTTGGGCTCATTGACTCGGAAATTGTACGTATATATAAAAATGGTCTCAATCTTGAAAATCCCATTACAAACAAGTCTGCATAGACACACTTAAGTGCAAACGGAGATTATCTTTATTTTTACCAAATTTACTCACTTCAAACTTTAAGAGCCTTTTAAAATTGTCATTTTTAGATCTAAAAGCCTGAAATTGGGCTCATTGAATCGGAAATTGTACGTAGATTTTAAAAATGGTCTAAATTTTAAAAATCCGATTACAACCGAGTCTGTAGACCCTTATTCCTCGTTTTTGTTGACACACCCTGTAGATGCTGTTTTTTTTCCTTTATTGTGTCTGCTGCGGGTTTTCTTTATAAATTTTGCTCAGAAAAAAATTAAATGGGATCATTTAAGATTACATCGACATTTGCTTGAAGTAATTCTGTGAAAATGAGAAATTAGTCTCCTTCCACATATCGTCATATATATGATCCTTGAATAAAAGTATCCCTGATCCCCCAGATGACTCAGTTTATCCTGACTTTGGTGGTATTCCACTGATCTCAGCAGTTTTTGATGAAAACTTGACCGACCGCTGACCAGATCATAGCTCAGCAAGAAAGCAGCTGGGGNGTTTTTATTAATGAATTTTGAGATAAAAATAGAAACCTATTACTGTAAGGATGAAACCATTTACTGTAAGGATGAAACCATTTACTGTAAGGATGAAACCATTTACTGTAAGGATGAAACCATCCTAGGCTCTCACCAATATATGCTAACCTTGCAAGTTTGATGCGGGGTAAATCTTCAGTCAACATCTTCATTCCCAGGCAGCTAGTCACGACTCAGGTCAACACTTGATTTTCATACTTTTCTGTTAAATATTTTAAATATTTTAGGGGGTGGTTACTTTTTGTTTCTTACCATGTTTGATTATCAGGAGATAATTTATTATAATTTAAACTTATTTAAACTAATTAAGAAAGACATTGTCCAAAGGGCAAAACTACTGTTTGGGATAGCGCTAAGCCTCATCGATATTAACAGTGTAAAATTTTGAATTCAAGAAGTCAAAATTAACTCCGTAGATAATTAAGAAATGAAAGTAGTATTCATGACTGCCTTTGCGCTTAACCGTCGAGGAGGATAAAAACTGTTGAGTGCAAAAGCTATATGTTTAAGTTAAAAGTTTCGCTCTCGGGGTTTATCAAGCCTTAACTTAAAGTTGGTTATTAAACTGTGCGAATCTTCCAACAAAGTTCATAAAGTTCGGCCTTCTAAATGTTCAAGAGTAGATGAGAACGGACTTAAATGGACGGACTTAATTTAAAGATCGGTTCAAAAAGATATTCTCACGTTGATAAAATCTCTTTACTATTGACAGAGGAGAATGAAAAGTATGAGTTCAACAATTTCAAGTAACCTTCCATTTATAAAGAGACATGTCCGCTTCACAACGGTACCTTTCTCCGGAGAAGGATGAGGTAGATACCCTCATTTGTATAGCCGAAGATTGAGTGCCAGGAGACTTGAGGTTACAGTGTACACTGTACTCTCTGTGCTCGTGTACACTCGCGCGGGTTCTTTGCACTTAATTTCTCACTGTAAGAATATCTACGAATTCCTTCATCAAACAAAGATTTAAAGGATATCGTTGTGAATCGGATATGTCACTTGAAATCACGCTTACAGTCCCTTTCAACCAGCTTAAACTAGGTCCTTTCAGTCAAAAGTTACCACCACAGCACAGGTTGAGAACTTTTGAATTCATATTTTTATATTTTTACTTTTTAGGATGCCCGGAACTAAGATAGTTTTGACCCAAGGCGAGGACCCTGATCCAGCTCCGTTCCTCTTTGTCTCAGCCGAGATCAAGAAAAAAATTGCAGAGAAAAAGTAACTGATTTGAAAATTATAAGACAACTACGACAATAATAAACATAATAATAATCATATAATAATGATGATATAATAAACGCCAAATAGCAACAGATCATACTTTGAATTTAGTATTCAACCTTAGCTTCTTAATTTTAATGTAATTCAAAAATAGTGTGATTTGAACAAAACAAATGGATTGAATTCAATTTCAGTATCTTTAAATCAAAAGTGGCTCGAATTTCAATTTATTAACTAGTTGTTTGTCTCTTTGTTAATTTAGTGTCTTTATCTTCTTTTTCTTCTTTGTCTTCACCAACCAGATAATTTAGAACATTAATGGTTTCGATTTACCATTTTCTGCAAGGATGAAACCATTTACTGTAAGGATGAAACCATTTACTGTAAGCGTAATTTCAAGTTACCTGCCATGCAAAGATGACAACGCCTGAATTACAACAGCTTACCCTTTAAAGGGAGTGTTCGTAAAAAATGAAAGGGGTTAGGCTTACGGCGAATACTAATCACTTTTGATCGCTACTTATATTACTTTGTTGCGTCTATAGGGAGAAAATTGTTGAAAACGACTTATTATACTGAATTGAACGTAGCGTCCATACAAATTCAGAAAGTTGTAATATACAAGTCAGATCGTAAAATAATCAAATTAATTTCGAACAAATCATTCAGATATTACAACCTATAGTTATCGATTATTTTTCGACGCATTCGTATATAGTTAACATTTAATATTCGTTTTCTATACAATGCACTTAAAACGCCGACAAAGTTGGCCGCTAAATGTCTCAGCTCTCGATGCTTTGAATGATTACACGTAGCAAAGACACCTAGCGGAAAAAAGTCGTTTTAAGTGCATAGTGTATTAAAAAAATAACAAATATTATGAAATATTAACTATATACGAATGCGTTTTAATGGTACCGTTGTAAATAAGAACATTGTTATCTTTACATGGAGGGTCATTTGAATTTACGCTTACAGTCCCTTGAAATCCTTAATGTTGGCAATCTAATAATATTTTTTTTTTGCTGCTAGATACGATCCTAAAAGATCCTGCTATGTCCCCCACCCGGAGGAGAAGTTTATGGAGGGATTGATTCAGGAGACGAACGGAGGGAAGGTTAAGGTTCAACTTCTCAATGGAGAGACTCATGAGTTCAAACAAGAACTTGTTACTCAGGTATTTCAGCACAGACAAATCACATCGTAAAAGATAGAATTTCATAATGTTTTTTTTTCAACTCTTTTATAACCCATGTAAAGGAATTGAGTTTTTGTCACAAACACTGATTTTCTAATTCCAATATCTTTGCAACTCAATGTCATTTACCTTTGATATTTCAAACTATGAATATATGAGGACAAAAACTCATTTTCTCTTCCGAAACTAATATCCAAAACAATTGCCAATTTCATGAAAACAAATATTATTTTTAAGTATTTACATCAAATAAAATGGTTATCTATTATTATATTTTAAATATATTTCGAAAATGAGGGAAATTTTCACCTTTCTGAAAAATAATAACGTTAATCTAAATATATAAAGTTGTAATCTCTGCTTGTCTGTTTGTTTGTCCGATCATAACTCAGAAACCCCTGGACTGATTTGCCTAAATTTTCATTGGGGACTCGGGAGAATTCCACGGGAATGTTTTTAGCTTGGTTTTCAGATTCTAAGTTGAGTGGGTCGACTTTTATAGCAACAATTTAGTTTCCCGGTAAAATCGTTCAAGTGCGGGTAAACGGCTGGAGTAACTTTTAGTAACCTGGGCAGCGCTGGGTTCCCAAGCTAGTGTATTATAAAATTTCCAAAAGCTTAAAAAAAATACGAATTTTCTGAAAACTAAATATTGAATTCGAACAATGGTAACCATTCCCTTGGTTCATGTGAGTTTCAACTATAAAGAATTGAGTCTTTGCCACAAATTCAAATTTTAAATTCCTATATCTTTAAAAGCTTATGGTGTAAAGCTTTAATTTTTTCAACTTTGATTATTTGATCTTACAAAATTTTCGAAATATTTATTGTGTTGCAAAGATATAGATATAAAATCAGAGTTTCTGGCACAGACTCAATTCCTTTACCGTTTGGAAGTTAATTGGATATACATAAAACATATAACATACAGACAAACCAAATATTTAAACAAATTTAACTTTGAGGTGAACCCCCCGAAGTACGACTGCTGCGAAGATATGTCTAACTTGACTTATCTAAACGATGCCTCTGTACTCTTTAATCTCAAGCAGAGATATGTAGAGCGACTTATTTATGTAAGTAATAAATTTAACTGGTTTTTATTAATGAATTTTGAGATAAAAATAGAAACCTATCTTTTCTCAAAATTGTGCTCTCTTTAGTGTAAAAACTAGAATAAATACTTTTTCCCCCCTCCATGCTGTATTATTAGAATCAATTACCCCCCCCCCCTTCATATTTTTCTATTTGGATTCCCCCAATGGAATCCCTATCTTCTTTACTTTTGATCCTCCGAGTTGGAGAATTCTCGAGATAAGTTTCTTTTCTTAAAGATTGCATCTTTCCTTTCAAACCTTTTAATATCTTCGTTTCCAATAACAGAAATTCATTTTTTAAATCATCATGTGATTAAATTTTTGTTGAGATTTACAGATAAATATCATTGGTATAATACAGGGGTTGTCAGATTGAAACCATAAGTTTGTCCAAAAGTGATATTGGAAATCATTTTCATACCACAAACATGGTTTTGAACTGACTCCTCCGGTGAAAACGTGTTTTGCATTCCTAATATTGATAATATTGATGTACAGACCTACTCTGGCTTGTTCTGTATTGCTGTAAACCCGTACAAGAGGTTTCCTATCTATACCATGAGGACTGTAGGCTTGTACCGTACTAAAAGGAGAAATGAGGTTCCTCCTCATATCTTTGCCATTGCTGAGGGAGCCTACCATGCTATGTGTATGAGTAAGTATTTTTATCATGACCTCTTTTAATATTTTAAGTGGCTGTTAGTATTGACGTCGCTTGAAATAACACGTAAAGTCCCTTTAAATGAGCTATTATTGAGTTAATAAATCTAAATTATAAACCCTTTTAAGAAAAAAATTCTTCCCAGGCCAGAATAAATTCTCCCTTCTCCATTCCTATTAGGAAGTTTTAAACAAAGAAAACCTGTTTAGAAAAACACGTTGAAACTTTCCAATTTGTTTCTAGAGAGTAAGAACCAGTCCATTCTTATTACTGGGGAGTCTGGTGCTGGTAAAACAGAAAACACGAAGAAAGTTATTACATACTTTGCTTTCGTCGGTTCCTCCGCTCCTGCTAAGAAACAGGCAGCGGTTGTAGATACAGGAGCTAAGAAGAAGGCGTCCCTTGAGGACCAGGTACAGGCTTATGAATATATTAGAGTTGTTAACTCTTGTATTGTGGATATCAAAATCGATGCTTTTGTTAGTCTGTAGATTTATATTAATCTTTGTTTGAGATACCACATGGTTATCATACCCAGTTATATCAGGGGAGGAATTACCAAAATGACGATATTGATCAAATTAAAAATTCTCAGATTGAATATTGAGATCAAGCAATCGGAATCATGAGTATCAAACGCAAAAGTTCCCAGCTCAATTTTGATTTTCAGAGTAGAAAATGTGGAATAAACAAACACTCGTGAAAACTATTATTTTCCCATCTCTATATTTTTACAACCTGAAGTTTTAAACCTTTTAAATATCATAGTTCAAACCAATGCTTTAAATACAATTCACCAAAAAATTTAATTTTAGGTTGTTCAAACCAATCCTGTCATGGAGGCCTTCGGTAATGCTAAGACTGTGAGAAATGACAACTCATCAAGATTTGTAAGCATAACAAATTAAAATAGTAATATGGATTTTAGAACTGATTATCTCATCCTGTTTAGGGTAAGTTTATCCGTGTGTGGTTTAACAACATGGGTAGGATGGCCGGAGGAGATATTGAGACCTATCTTCTTGAGAAGTCTAGAGTAACCTACCAATCACCCTGTGAAAGGTAATACTTTTTGCAATTAATGTTTCTTAATAATTGATGAAAGGAATTGAGTTTTTGCCACAAACTCTGAATTTTAAATCCCTATATATTAACAACCCAATGTTGTAGACCTTAGATATTTCAAACTATGACTTCTGCTACATCAAACAATATAAGTTTGTAATATCAAAGGTTTACATCATTTGTTTGTAGATAGATAGGTATTAGAAAGTTGGTATTTGAGGCAAGGACTCATTTCCTTTATTTGAGTTTTTACACCAAACTTAATCTTTGCAACCGATGGTGTGCACCTTTGATGTCATACAGAATTCACAGTATGAAATATTTAAGGAAAACTAGAGTTTGTCGCAAAGATTCAATTTCTCTATCCCTAAAGAATTGAATCTTTGCCAAATATAAATTTCTAATCCCTATATTTTAGCAACTTAAAGACACAAACCTTTTATATTTCAAACTTGGATTATTTGATCTAATATAATTCAGAGTTTGAAATATCTAAGATCTCTGACATTGGGTTGCGGAGATATTTGGATTAGAAAATCAGAATTTGTAGCAAAGACTCGATCCCTTTGCCTTGAGAGACCATAGTATTTAACAAGAAACCTTAATCGAAAATACTAAATCAAAATATATAACAACACCTTAATTTTCTTTTTAGATCTTATCATATCTTCTACTTCCTGTGCACCCACAAGGTTGACCTCCATGAGGTCTGTCTGTTGTCTGACAACATATACGATTATCCCTGTGTTTCAATGGGAAAGGCAAGTATTTTTATTTTTTCATTGTTATTGAAATAATAAGCGGGAAGATATTAATTATTAACTTTTGTGGAAGGGGGGAGGGGCTTACTTCACAAATAATAGAAGAATAACTTTTTTTGGTGAGATATAGCAGAATATTATTCACTATTAGATATATGTTGTATTTTAGGTTACTGTTGAGTCTATTGATGATGCTGAAGAAATGATGATTATGGACGAAGCCTTTGATATCCTTGGGTTTACACATGAGGAGAAGTTTGATGTATACAAAGTATCTGCTTCTTGCATGATATTCTCCAAGTAAGTCTTTATCTGCTTTCTTCTTTTTCCGGCTAAAAAGCGATATAAAACTGCTAAGGATTCAGAAATAAAGAAAAAACACACAAATATTCTAAGTGAACGTTTCTTTGGTCTAAAAATTTCCACAATATAAAATTGGGGGTTTTACATAGTTTAGTAGGCATATAGATTTAGTGCATAAAATAAAGAATTATAACCTATTTCAAACACTTTTTGCATGCGCAAGTTCAAGTTCAAAAAAGTTATTTAAATTATTCTGATTAGTTCAACTACTTCTTGTAATTCATTAAACTAGGTCCAAGTTTAATCAATTCTGACAGTTTGTGGAAGCTGGAAATAACATATTTTGTGGAACAAGGCAATCTTATATATAACATAATTTACTTGGATCTAGTTTTAGAAGAATGTAATTGTTGATGATTCAAATTTTTTCCCAAGGTTGGAATACCAGGGAATGGGTGAAGTTGCTTCTCCTAAAAATCTTGATGGTGGAACTATTTTGAATGACCTTCTTGGATTTGCCAACAGCGGAGAGGAAATCTATGACAGATTCATCAATCCAAAATTCAAGGTTCACACAAAAAAAGCAATTTATGTATCTAACTGATCCTTTTAAAATTTTATTTGCTAAAAAAATACAACTCTTTCATTTTTATTGTACCAGGTTGGAACTGAATGGGTTAACAAAACTCAGAATGTGAACTCTGTTGTTGTTGCTACTGGCTCCATCATTAAGAATATCTTTGGCCGACTCTTTAGATACCTTGTGGACATGTGTAACAGCACACTTCTTGACCCAACTATGAAGAAGGTCAACTTTATTGGTGTCCTGGATATTGCTGGATTTGAAATTTTTGAGTTCAACACTTTTGAACAGCTTTGCATCAACTTTGTGAATGAAAAACTGCAACAGTTTTTTAACCATCACATGTTTGTGCTTGAACAAGAGGAGTACATGAGAGAGGGAATTCAGTGGGTGTCTGTTGACTTTGGCATGGACTTGGCTGCATGCATTGAGCTGTTTGAAAAGCCTATGGGAGTTTTACCTATCCTTGAGGAAGAGACCATCTACCCTAAAGCTTCTGATCAAACATTTGAGATGAAACTTAAAGCTCAGCATTTGGGAAAGCACAACAATTTTGTTAAAGCATGTTCCAAAACTGACAAGGATGCTCACTTTGCTGTGGTTCATTATGCCGGAACTGTGTCATACAATGTCACTGGATGGCTAGACAAAAACAGGGATCCTGTCAATGACACTGTTGTTGACCTTCTTAAGAAGTGTGCAAAATGTAAGCTAGTCTGTGAGATCTATGCTGACCATCCTGGACAGACCAAGGAAGAGGAAGATCTTCCTCCCCCAGGACATCGCCGTGGTAAGAAGAGAGTTGTTGTAAAGTCCAAGACTGCTGCTAAGATGGCTAACTTTAAAACTGTCTGCTCCTACTTTAGAGATCAGCTTAACAACTTGATCAACATGTTGATGACCACTGAGCCATCTTTTATTCGTTGCATTGTACCTAACAATGTCAAGACGCCTGGCCTTGTTGATCCTTTCCTTGTAATGCACCAGCTTACCTGTAATGGTGTACTGGAAGGAATCCGTATTTGCCGGAAAGGATTTCCTAACAGAGTCATCTACCTTGACTTTAGAACTAGGTATGCAATCCTGGCCCCAAAAGAAGCTCACAAGGCCATGAAAATGGTCAAGAGACCAGTTACTGAGGAAAAAAAGAACATTGCAGCAACTCATGCCGTCATGGATAAAATCCAACTGGTTGGAGACAAATTCCAATATGGTCATACCAAGATCTTCTTCCGTGCTGGTATTCTTGGTCTTATGGAGGAGCTTCGTGATGACAGGGTGAATGATCTTGTTGCCATGTTGCAGGGTGCAATCCGGGCATACTATGCTAGAAGAATTTACAAGAAGCTTTGGGATCACAAAATGGGTCTCCTTGTTGCTCAAAGAACCATTCGTAATTACATGATTGGAAAGAAATGGCTTTGGTGGACCTTGTGGTTGGCTCTTAAGCCTGGACTTAAATCTGGTAGATTTGAAGAGTTCAAGACAGATTTGGCAAATAAAACCCTTTATGCTCAAGAGCACTTGGAGGAAGTTATCAAAGAAAAAGAAGATGCTGAGAAGAAACATGCTCGCCTAATTGTAGAGGTTGATGAAATCAGGGTATCCCTTGCTGGAGGAACTAATGCTAAGCAAGATCTGCTGGACAAAATTGCTAAGCTTGATGATATTAGAGGAGGGTTGCAAAAGGAAATTCAAATTCTCAATCAGAGAATTGCTGCTGAAAATGAAAATATTGAAAATCTTAATGAAGCTCTAAAGAAAACAGAAAGCAATCAATCATCTCTTGGACGGGAAATGAGAGAATGTGAAAGTCGCCTTGCACAGGTGCAAGATGAAAAAGCTGATAAAGATGCTCAAATCAAGCAAATGAAAGAAGAATGCCTTCACCAAGAAGAATTGATTAATAAACTCAACAAAGAAAAGAAAACCATTTGTGAAAGTAAGCTGAAGGAGGAAGAGCAGATTCAATCTTATGAGGATAAATGCAATCATCTTAACAAATTGAAGATTCGCCTGGAAAAGAGCCTTGATGAAGTTGAAGATAGTTGGGAGCGAGAAAAGAAGCATAAGGGAGACATCGAAAAGATGAAAAGGCAAGTAGAGGGTAACCTGAAGCTTACTCAGGAGACTGTTGTAGATCTTGAAAGGAATAAGATTGAGCTTGGCCAAGTTTTGCAGCGCAAGGAGAAGGAAAACAGTTCATTGATGGGAAAAATTGAGGATGAGCAAACTCTTGGAGGTAAACTCAACACTCAAATAAAAGAGCTGCAGGCCCGTCTTGAGGAACTTGATGAAGAGCTTGAGGCAGAGCGCCAAGCTCGTGCCCGTGCTGACAAGGGTCGCGGAACTCTCAGGCGTGAACTGGATGAACTCAATGAAAAACTTGAAGAAACAGGAAGTAATACAGCTGCTCAGATTGCATTGAACACAAGGAGGGAGGAAGAGCTGGCTAAGCTTAAGATGGAGCTGGATGAAGCCAATATTACCCATGAATCAACTCTTGCAATGCTTAGGCAGAAGCACAATGCTTCTATTTCTGAAATGGGAGAGCAGATTGACCAGCTTAATAAGCAGAAAGCTAAGGTTGAAAAGGAAAGGAATGGAGTTGCTTTGGAACTTGAAGAGGTCCAGAACCAGCTTGCAAATGATCAAAATGAAAGATCATCTCTGGAAAAACAAGGAAAGATGATTCAACAACAAATCTATGATAATCAAGGAAGACTCGAGGAGCTTCAAAGGGCTTTGCACGAGGCTGATGGATCAAAAAGGAAGCTTACAGTTGAAAACTGTGACCTTGTTCATCAGTTTGAGGAGGCTGAGCGCAATGCTGCTCAGTTCAGCAAGGACAGAACAAGTCTTACAACTCAACTGGAAGATGCAAAGAGGCTGGCTGATGCTGAGACAAGAGAGAGAATAAATCTTTTAGGAAAAATGAGAAATCTTCAACATGAGCTTGAGGTAATGAAGGAGCACTTGGATGAAGAATATGATGCCAAGCAGGAGGTTGAAAGACAACTTTCTAAAGCTTTTGCTGACATCCAGTTATGGAAAACCAGGTATGAAACTGAAGGAGTTGCTCGCGCTGAGGAGATTGAGAGAGACAAAGCCAAGGTTGCAGGACGTCTTGCGGAAGCTGAAGACACTATTCAGTCTCTCCAGGAAAAGATTGCCTCTCTTGAGAAGGCAAAGGCTAGGGCCAAGGCTGAGCTTGATGACCTGACCTCTGAATGTGAACGCCATAACACAAATGCAACAATCATTGAGAAGAGAGGCCGAAACTTTGATAAGGTTGTCAATGAATGGCGTCTGAAAGCAGAAGATCTTCAAAATGAAATCACTGCTAGTCAGACTGAATGCAGAAATTTCAGCTCTGAATACTTCAGAATTAAATCTGCCAATGAAGAAATATTGGAACATCTTGATACTGTGAAGAGGGAGAATAAGAATCTTGCAGAGGAAATCAAGGACCTTCTTGATCAGCTAGGTGAAGGTGGTAGATCAATGCATGAGCTTGACAAATCCCGCAGGAAGCTTGAGGTTGAGAAAGAAGAGCTACAGACTGGTCTAGAGGAAGCAGAAGCTGCTTTGGAGCAAGAAGAAAATAAGGTGCTGAGAGCTCAACTTGAAATGTCTCAAGTACGTCAAGAGATTGATAGAAGAATTCAGGAGAAGGAGGAAGAGTTTGAGCACTCTAGAAAAAATCACCAACGTGCTTTGGACTCAATGCAAGCTTCACTGGAGGCTGAGGCAAGAGCCAAGGAAGAGGCTTTGAGGATTAAGAAGAAATATGAGTCTGATATCAATGAGATGGAGATTGCTCTTGATCATGCAAACAAGGCCCATTCTGAAGCCAAAAAGGCAATAAAGAGGACTCATATGCAACTAAGCGATGTCAATGCTGCCATTGAAGAAGAGCGCAAGATCAAAAATGAAGTTCTGGAGCAACTTGGACTCACTGAAAGAAAGGCCAATGCCATGGGAGGAGAGCTGGAAGAGTCCAAAGCTCTTCTGGAGGCTGCCATTCGGGGCCAAAGACAAGTTGAACAGGAACTTATTGACACCCGTGAACAGGTTTCAGATATGAATGGAAGCAACACTTCCTTGACCAATGCCAAGAGGAAGCTTGAAAATGACATCCACCAAATGCAGGCAGATTTAGACAACATGCTTGCATCATGCAAAAACTCTGAGGAAAAGGCCAAAAAAGCAATGGTAGATGCGGGACGTCTTGCTGATGAACTCAGGTCTGAACAGGATCATGCTGCTGCTCAAGAAAAGGCTGCAAGAACCACTGAGGTATCTTTGAGCGAAATGCAGAAAAAGGCTGAGGAAGCTTCATTTGCAATGGCTCGTGGAGCTGCACAGATGCCAGCTAAGCTTGAAGCACGTGCTCGAGATATTGAACTAGAGCTTAACCGCACTATTCAACAAACTGATGAGGTTCATAAAAACATCACCAAGGGAGAAAGAAGAGTAAAAGAACTCATCTTCCAACAGGAAGAAAACAAGAAAAATCAAGATCGCATTACAGATCTTGTTGAAAAGCTCCAGCAGAAGATTAAATCTTACAAGAAGCAGATTGAGGAGGCTGAGGAGATTGCTGCAATAAATCTGGCAAAGTACAGAAAGGCGCAGCAGGACTTTGAAGAAGCTGAGGAGAGATCTAAGCTTTGTGAAGCTAATATTCAGAAGTATAGGTCCACCAGAGGAGCTTCCATGACCCCTGGCCCAGTAAGTATATATATAACATGAAATTCATAAAAAGTTCTGATTTTCAATGTTTTCTATTTCAGGTTTAAGAGTGTCATGCCTAGTCAACCTGCTCCATCGGCCATCCTCTTCTTAGTTAAAGAGATTTTATTCTGTAGTTTGTAGCATTAAATGAGCATCGGAAAGACATACAGAGAATTTTAAAACTATATATTCTTTAAACCCCGCAACAGGACTAGGGCATACTAATCATTGCTTGAAGGTATTCTAATTACCATGACACTTGGGTCACAGGCACTTACTAATATTCTTGTTATCCGATAGGATCACAGAAACTGTTGAAATTTGAAAGCAATTGCTCTGACACTTGGGTCAACAGATTACAACAATCTTCTCTGTATGTTTTGTGTTCATTGCAAATCCGCGGCAATTATAAAAAAAAAATAAAAAAAATAAATCTAGAAATTAGAACTGTTGTTTTATTCCTATATTTGTATTATATTGCTAGGCTAATAATATTATTAATGAACCATAATCGTAAAATCTTAACTGGCATCTTCATTTAACACCAGTTTGCAAATGAAAATATTCATTATTTTGAAATATTTAAGCTTTATACATCAGGTTGCTTAACAATATTGGGACAACAAATATGTTTGGACAGTGTTCTGTTTTCTTTTGTTTGTTTTATACTTTTACGTCTTTTATTGCTTGTTAGAATTTGATTGTGATCAGAAATTTGTATAAAATCTTCTTTTCAAGAGACAATTATAAATATAAGACAACTTTAGATTTTTCTTTACACTCTAATAAAACAACTTAATCATTCTAGTATAAACTAGCGTAATTTTAAGTGCTACACAAGGATGGAAATGCCTGATTCGAAGCGATTTTTCTGCAAAAGTGACCTGCATTCTTGCTTGTAAGAAACGATGAAGAAATGATCAGAATTTAAAACTTTTCAATTCAGACACACACATCATTTCCACATAAAAAACATATAAAATTTGGTGTGAATGGTGATCCAAACCTAATAGAGTAAACAAATTCGATTTTGATTTTGAATTCTGTAGAGAAACCCTCTCAAATAAAAAACATTTAAAATTTTGTGTCGCTGATGATCCAAACCGAATGGAATAAACAAAGTCAATTTTGATTCTGAATTCTGAAAAAAAACCTCTCAAATAAAAAACATTTAAAATTTTGTGTCGCTGATGATCCAAACCGAATGGAGTAAACAAAGTCAATTTTGATTTTGAATTCTGAAAAAAAAACCTCTCAAATAAAAAACATTTAAATTTTGTGTCACTTATGATCCAAACCTAATAGAGTAGATAAATAAAGTGTTTATGAAAATATACAAGGGCAAATGCATTTATTGTTAAGGGAAAAGTCTTAAAATTATTCTTTTACTCAGTCAATCCTTAAGTTACAAACACAATCACGGATAGTTTCGTATTTAACAGTTTGTTCATGGTACAGGGATTGCAAGCGTAATTTCAAGTTCCCCTTTATGCAAAGATGGTAATGCCCAATTCACAATGATACCATTAAAATGTTTATTTCTGATAAAAAAGTATTTCTAGGTTTAAAAGCGCTCAAAATTGGCAATTTTTGATGTGTATTCCTGCAGCAGAAATGCGCCAGTAGTTCTGTAAAGGTTAGAGAAACATCAATTTAAAATAGTTAGTTTTCAATTTTATAAACCATGAGTTCTAATATCTGCTTAATCAGACAAAGCGTTTAAGGAATAAGGGTGCCGTTGTGAATCGGACATTGCCGTTTTTGCATGTAGGGTCATTTAATATTACGCGTACAGTCCCTTTAAGTTGAATCCACGAGAAAAAGGTGAGCTGTGAAATGTTTTGTCAATCATGAACATTCCATGTTTTAGATTCTACATTTTCTCTAAGCTAACATTCTTCTGAACATAATTTTGTCTCAAAAATATGAGTTCGACGTAGAATGGTGACTTAGAAAGTGTCTTAGACATAAGCATGTCTCCATGTAAAGACATGGGTTTGAGTTAGAATTGGGACTTACAATGTGTCTTAAAGTAACTTAATCTGGATTTTGTGGCCATTCTATCTTAAAGTGACAGTTTAGATGCTTTACCCAGGAAACACAACTGGATGATACAACTAGATGATAACTAGTTGTCCTAAACTCCACTGCAAAACTCCACTTTAACTCCACTTTATCTCCATTTCTAAATTCCAGTCACCAAATGGATGAAATCTGGATTAAAAAAACTCGACTTAAACTCGACTTTTTGAATCCCAGTTTTTACCAAGTCAGGGTGAAAAACTTGAATTTCAAAACTCCACTTCAACTCGACTTTAACTCCACTTTTGAACTCCAGTCACCAGCTGGGTGAAATCTGGGTGCATAAACTCGACTTAAACTCCACTTTTTAAATCCCAGTTTTTACAAAGTCCCCAACTGGTTGAAATCTTGGTGCTAAACTCGACTTAAACTTGACTTTTTGAATCCCAGTTTCTGTGTCAATAAATTCACGAAACCTCAACTTCACAAAAATGCATTTTTAAGATAGAATTTAACAATATTTGACGATTTTTTAAAAGAATTGATAAGTAAAAAATTTTATGCCACTATTTTCGAGTAAATCGATGTTATCATTAGAATGAATGTCAGTAAATTCTTGATTTTTGATGAATAGAAGTTCCACTTAGACAGTCTTGTAACAGGTATAACGGTAAGTTAATACAGTATTGTAGAGGATATTAAATCCCCGAAAGAGGATTATGAAATCCGAAAATCAGTGGTGTCGTATCTTGGAACTAGAGAAGACCTACTCAACTTCCTCTCCTTTTATACACTCGTAATTTATCATGCAATTATATCTAGAAGCAATAAATGTACTTCTAAAGTATACCATATATTGAATATGTTGAAGATGTGTGCTGTACGTATGTATGAGAGTTAATGTAGATTATTACAGATGATGGAATGATGATGAATTTATGAAGAAGAATACTGGATTGGATTGGTAATATCTGGATGATATGTGGGTGATATCATCCAAATATCACCCACATATCATCCATATATCACCCACATATCATCCAGATGTAATCCATATATTACCCATATCATCCAAATTTCATGGCACGTTTTTTACCCGATTAGCTATTTATTGATGTCAGTTTGCATTTCAAAGAAATCTATGACCGGAGAAAAGGCCGATTTATCGTTTACAATTCTAGCAGAAAGATATAATACCTTTGCATATTTAAACGTCTTTTTAGTAACAACAAACTAATAAAATCTAAAATTATCATATTTTAATGAAATCATGTGATGTCAGCTACTATATAATGAAAAAAATTTTTATTTTAGAATTAGGAATAAATTAACGTTTTTCGTATTCAACAATAATTTAACAAATCAACACACGTTTATGCACAGACGACTTTCTCTCTCAGACAAGCAGGTTCCTAGATTCCAACTCTTCAATAAATCACGGGGATTTCTGGGGAAATAGAGAAAACGCATCAAACCGTCAAATGTTTAGAAGAAGTTATATTTTGAAAACAGACAATTTTACAATGATTTTGATTTGAAAAAATTAAAGTATATAAAATTTGATTTAATATTTGAAAATTTTAAAAAATCCGTGACTATGACAAAAAGCATTAAATAGTGTCATGGTCACAGTTGTCCTTGAAAAGTAAGACTAATACCAATGAATAGCTAATAAGCTATAGTTTACCCTGCACAATTTATCCAATTAAGTGAACGGTCCCTTTTACTTGGAAATAAATGATCCGTTTGTCAACTGTATATTTCGTACTTTCTTAAAGTTTGTCAACGATCTTCAATTTATTAAAGGCGGTAAAAATAACAGATGATATGTTGGTTATTTTCGTTCGTTAAAAATTTCAAAAATACCATCGTTAACCCAATAAAGGCTATGGGGATTCTGCCTGGGGGGCGGCTTTTGGCACCCCCCCCCCTCACACTAGAAAAAACCTGAGAGAATAGGTATAGGGTTGAAATGTATGTTCATAGCCCAATACTTCAAGGCCAGCTCATAGAAAAAAAATAAACCTAAAACTTCAATGGTTTTGGCGCTGGAGAGGGTTGAAAAAAAATGCCTAAAAAGGGTCAAACAAATTTTAAAAAATATTTTTTTTAAAAAACAAATCTCAAAGTGTGACACATGTTTCTACATGAATTTTCAAAGGCTTTTTAAAAATATAGTTTTTAGATCTGAAGCTTCAGTCACAAAAAAGTATTCGGCTATTTTAGATTTTTTTTCACAAACAGGACTTTTCAAAAAAAAGTTTTAACGAAAAATCCTTTAAATTACTTTTCATTAAAAATCACAAAATTTCACGGTGATGGTGTCATAAATGAGAGTGCTAGGACAAAAATAAACAGTCTGTTTAGGGTTAACGGAAACTTTCTCAATTTTCCAGCCCAGCATGAGTTATATGTATATACTTTTCTTGTCTGTCTGTTTGTGTGTTTGTATCAAATAAACGTCAAACTCTTGTGGGACCTGACACGATCCCAGCGACATTTTGTGAATGATCTAATTTTCAAAAATTTGCCCCGAACAAAATTCGAATTTAAAAATTTGAAAATCTACGAATTCGCGTATTTTTTTTGGTTTTTTGTTTAACAAAGAGTAAATGTTTACAATTGAAATTAAGGATGGTCGCGAAGTGCCAGAAGTGAGTCATAGTAAGTATAATTTCATATTGCTGGAAAAAAAACTAATTTTTAATCTAACTTTGTCAAATAAATGTATTTTGTATTAAACAATATTCCCTTTTGTTCCAAAGTATATAGCAAAGTTATCTATTTTAACTTTTAATGTTCTTTCTATAAGTCGAGGAGAAAAAAACCAATAATCTCATTCTTTTATGTAAAATAGCAATGGCTACAAAAAATATGAGCCCACTAGCAATGGAAAATTTTTTCGAGATTTCATAATTTATGATTTATGAATGTTCATTATTGTTAACATTTATTTTATATTTGATTGATGTTATTTTCGAGGTCATACAAAACGCAGAGTGAATTTTAAAAAATTCATTTTTTTATATCTTTAAATCACAAACAATTTCATAGCAAAGGTCTCATAAACAATGTTAAGTTTGCAATTTGATTATAGCACAATAAATATGATAAATATCAAATATATACAATTATACAATTCCAGTATGTGTGTCAAAATTTCAACTTGTAAGAATTGTCAAAAAATTTCATTTCTACTTTCCAAATCTGGTACAAAAAAAAACAGTGGTCGGCGTTTATATCAATACATTGAATACGGCTTTCCTATTTAAGTTTGGATTTCTAAAAAGCTTTTTTCAAATTACAAGTTCACAATTGAAAACTAAGAGACACTGTCAATTGACAACTTCTCTTAGTTTCCATGTTTATGTGTATCCAATCCGTGCTATTTGAAAGCTTGTTAGAAATCAAAACACGAAATCTAAAGTTGTCTTAATCTTGTTGATATATACGACGACGACGAATGATAAATATATATATTTATATGTCAGCTATTGCTGGCCAAACAGGTGGACCATTTTGGCTAACATTTTTTAAGGGAATCTATTGGTACTCTGATGGTATCATAGGTTAAAAAAAAATTTTATTCCATTTTTTTCGAAATAAATTTTTTTCTTCAAAATTTAATCTTTTTTTTAATTTTAATTTTTTTTATTTGACGGGCAACGCCGGGCACTTCAGCTTTCTACTTGTATAAACCTGTACAAACTTCTAAACCTCCAGAATCTGGACATTTAAAGGTTGACAAAATTAAATTTGCGAAAAGTGAAAAATTGACACACCCCAATGCATCTACTGTCTACAATTTTTCGCACATATCCTCTAGCTGTGGCTTGAAATATTTCACCAACTGAAAAAAGGACAATCATTAGAACGCCACATGCAGTACATTGCAGTACAGTACAGAACAGTACAGAACAGTACAGTACAGTACAGTACAGTACAGTACAGTACAGTACAGTACAGTACAGTACAGTACAGTACAGTACAGTACAGTACAGTACATACAGTACAGTTTGTTTTCGTCGCAAATTGCGTACTTTTGCGCCTCCTACACAAACATCACGAAAAAAATATTTGCGCAAATATTAAAAAATCTCTTCCCCTCTGTATATATACAATACATATACTTTGCTTGTCTGGGTTTGTGTTTGTTTGTTTGTATCCAATAAACTAGTTTCAAAAGGGCTGAATTGATCAGGCCCAAAGAACCTGTCAAATCATTCGTTGGGATGTTTAGAAAGATGAAAATTTCCCTGTATGATAATTGAAGGACTGCAGTATGGTTTTGGTGAATTATATTGACGTACTAAGCCTAGGGGTGTCAGAAATGATTTTTTTTGCAGTTTTTTGAAAACGTCCAATTAACCAAAAAGTTTAATTTTGATAAAACTTTTTGTTCTTGATGATTACAAATATCTATCTAAAACTTTCTTAAACCGGCATATTTTTTCTATATTCATTTAGTTAAGAGTTTGAGTTAAAATAAGTATTAAAAAGTTTTATAGAAGTTTTAAAAAATATGCAAAAAAAATCATTTCTGACACCCCTAGGCTTTGTACGCCAATATAATTCACCAAAACCATACTGCAGTCCTTCAATTATCATACAGGGAAATTTTCATCTTTCTAAACATCCCAACGAATGATTTGACAGGTTCTTTTGTGTGGGACCTTACATGACCCAGGGAAGGTTTATGGACGATCAAAATTTCAAAACTTTGCCTCCATCAAAATTCGATTTTCTTTAAATAAAAAAATCCGTGAACTTTTTAAAGTTTTAGTTTAAGATAGGCGCCAAGTGCCCTAAAAGCCTATTATCATATACGAAGCTTCTAATGCTGTATGGGAATTATGCAAAAAAAATACCAAATTCAAACAATACAAGCGCAAATGATGGACAGGACAAAATTGGCTTATGAATTTTTGCACAACGTATGTCTAGTTTCACAAAGTTGTTTATTTGCGGAATTCTGCCAAATCCCTCAAAAAAATAAACTCAAGCAAATTGGTGCGAATTGAGAAAAATACTTCCTGTTAAAACCCGGATGTTCAATAAAAATCATGTTCACCTTATTTCTCATTAATTTTCCTGTAGAGCTGAGGAGGCCATTTTGAATCGAAAATTGATTCGGATGAAGATATATGTCCTAAAATTATAATAAACTACAATATTTGTCTTAGAAAACGCGGTATATGGATTTACTGGATTGATTGGGCTGAACTTGTTTGTAGACACTCAGGGGTGGCCGGGGCGTAGGCTAAAGAAAATTCGAAAAAAATATTTTAAAAATATATTTTTTTCACGGGCAACGCCGGGCCCTACAAGGCTACAGCTAGTATTTAAATTAAAATCTCTTGTTTATTGTTTACTGCCCATTTCATAATTAT